GAGAACCCGCCGTCGATGGGAGAGCAGCCCCTGTTGATTTTACAGCACGCAAGGGGCCACGGTGAGGACGCCAACATCAGCGACGCTATCTGCGTCCTTGAAGTCGATCGCCGGCGCTGGTAAGCGTAGGGCACCGAGTCAGGGCAAAGGTGCAAGGGCCGGATCAGAGGTTGGGACTACACTGTCCCTGTTCAACTGCCAAGCATGTGCGGGAGGGCTAGACGGGGATTTTCTTGGGTTTACAATGGGACTTCTCATGTCGAAGTCCCACCAGCAGCCCGCAAGTAGGGCTGAGAGCGATTTCCTTGTCTCCGACCGCGTGTCCTTCCCTTTGGACACACTTCTGAGACGCAGCGTTATGTTTGTCTTTGCCCCTACCCAGCCCGAACAGCATTTTCCACACAAATCCTCCGACGGACAAGACGTCTCTGGAAGGGTGTCGCTCCCAAACCTTCCCCTGTTCTAGAGCAGGGGGAAAACAATGGACTGGAACTTTTTTTCCCCAACACCCCTGGCTTTTTTGATGAAGGAACTGTTTCATCCTTCAGTCTACTGGCGCCCCGGGACTCCTCCTCGTTCTTTCACTTTGGGTCAGCCTTTTTTGCTTTCGGTCAAACCCACAATTTTCCCATTTTGGGGGGACAAAAAATAATTTGTACTGAAAATTGCTGAAGAATATTTCAAACCAAATGACATGAGTTTTGTGTCTGTCTCAATTCGTTGTTCCCTGCACCAGCTGCACAAATTCCACCCCAAACGCTCTGGGTTACACAATCCCTGTTGCATTTGTAATGTGTCGAGGGGGAGATACGGAGCCGAGGGGAGCCCCTGCCGCATTCGAAATGGGAAATCCTGCCTCTTACCCACAGAGTTAGCAGAGCCACGCCACCTACCCTCACCATCCCGTCTGTGCCCCCCGTGATGACGACGCCACGCAGGTCCCACTGCATTCCTTCCGCGAAGCAGCAGCAAATGATGGCTCCCTCCAAGCCGCAGGTGGGGTCAATCCGGGCCAGTGGCTGGCCGTTGACGGTCCACAAATGTAAACAGGGTCCCGCACAAGAAGCAATGTCGCCCTAGAACACACCACCCTGCATTATTTCAGGATCCCGCCTGCTCTCTTTTGTGGAGATCCACGGAACATGGAAACGCGGGCATTGGAACGGCCTGCCTAGGAAGCAGAGATCTGGGGGGATTCACGCACAAGCGAGCTGAGACCCTGCCATTCGGTGCAAGCCAGAGGATTTTCCTAATGACATGCAAGCAGTCGTGTTGCTGAGGACAGATGGCAGGTAGGGGTGTTGATAGGAATGAAAACCCCACTAGGAGAGAGAGAGAAAACTGCAACTCTTCAGCTTGGAAAAGAGAAGAGCAAAGGAGGAGATGACTGACATTACTACTCTAAAATCATGAGTAGTATAGTATAGGGAATAGGGAAGTGTGAGGTAGCAGGTTTAAAACAAACAAAAGGAAGTAGTTCCTCACACAGTGCATGGTCAACCTGTGGAACTCACTGCTAGGGGATGTTGTGAAAGCTGCAAGCACAACTGGCCTCAAAAAAGAATCACAGAGCACTAGAACTGGAAGGAACCTCGAGAGGTCATCAAGTCCAGTCCCCTGCCTTCACAACAGGACCAAGCACCAGCTAGGTCACCCCTGACAGGTGTCTGTCTAACCTGCTCTTAAATATCTCCAGGGATGGAGATTCCACAACCTCCCTGGGCAATTTATTCCAGTGTTTAATCACCCTGAAAGGCAGGAAGTTTTTCCTAATGTCCAACCTAAACCTCCCTTGCTGCAGTTTAAGCCCACTGCTTCTTGTCCTGTCCTCGGAGGCTAAGGAGAACAATTTTTCTCCCTCCTCTTTATAACACCTTTTTAGATACTTGAAAGCTGCTATCCTGTCCCCTTTCAGTCTTCTCTTTCCAAACTAAACAAGCCCGATTCTTTCAGCCTTCTCTCTCAGCTCGGCTATGTCTAGCATTTGCGGAAAAGAGCGTCTAGATTGGCACGGACGCTTTTCCGCAAAAGCATTTTTTGCGGAAAAGCGTCTGTGTCAATCTAGATGCGGTTTTGTGCAAGAAAGCCCCGATCGCCATTTTCGCGAGCGGGGCTTTTTTGCGCAAAACAGTACTGTGCTGTTTACACTGGCCCGGCTTTTGCCCGAATGGAAACAGCACAGTATTTCCGCAAGGACACTGACTATTTTACATGAGATCGTCAGTGTTCTTGCGGGAATTCAAGCGGCCAGTGTAGACAGCTGGCAAGTTTTTCCGCAAAATCATTTGATTTTGCAGAAAAACTTGCCAGTCTAGACACAGCCCTCATGTTTTCTAGATCTGTAATCATTTTTGTTCCTCTTTTTTGGACCTTCTCCAATTTCTCCACATCTGTCTTGAAATGCGGTGCCCAGAACTGGACACAATACTCCAACTGAGGCCTAGCCAGCGCAGAGTAGAGCGGAAGAATGACTTCTCCTGTCTTGCTCACCACACCCCTGTTAATGCAGCCCAGAATCATGTTGGCTTTTTAGCACGGTGGACAGGCCTGTGGATGGCTTTTAGCCAAGCAGGTCAGGAATGCAACCCCATGCTCGGATGACCCTAAATCTCCAATTGCCATATGCTGAGACTGGATGGCAGGGGACAGATCACTTGATTGCCCTGTTCCGTTCATTCCCTTTGGAGCACGTGGCATTGGCCACTGTCGGAGAACAGGACCCTGGGCTAAATGGATGATTTCTGTCTGTTCCTACCCGCCTCTTCTAGAGGGGAATTGGCGGGACAGGAAAACAACAGCACGTCTGAGACGGCGGATTCAGGCCTATCCAGACTGTGGATGAGAACGTGGGTCTAACTTAGTCTCAGCTCGCCAGACGTGGATCAGGAGAAATGACTGGAAGCCACAGGGGTCACAGGCGAGCCAAAGGCAGGAGGCCAGGGACGCGGCTGCTGGGCTTCTCAATCCAGCTCACATATCAAGACGTTTCATTTTACTATCCAGCCCCGTGCGGCTGCAGCTGCTTAGCTACTCGTCTGTGTTGTTCCTTTTAGTGCTCCCTTCGCGTCCGAAAGAGTACGATCAGCAGCCTCCGCGAAAGGGACAATCAATCGATGATGTTTTTACGTGGGGAACTGCCGCCCGAACAGGGCCAGGACGGGTTTCTGGTTGCATCAGGGGAAGGATGATAAATGACGTTCTTACCGTTGACTCGTTGATGGCCACAGCAGAGAGACCGGCCCCGTGGGCTGAGAGACAGGTGATGTGCGTCAGCTGGTTTAGGTCCCATACGATGCAGGTTCTGTCCATGGAGCCGCTCACAATGATGCTGTAGGTCACGGATGCAGCCAGGCAGGTCACATCCTGAGTGTGTCCGTACAAAGCCTAGGGGTACAAAACAACCCACAAGCACAGCCAAGCAGCTGGGTTACTAGGGATCTGCATTCCCGCTGGGATTAGCTTAGCAAGGACATGTGATCTGGTCCACAATATCAGAGCCTACAACAGAGCTCCCCGGTCCTTAACTTACAAATGGGGAAACTGAGGCCCAGAAAGGTTGCCCAAGCTTCTCCAGTGATTCAGAGGTGGCAACGGACCCCAGATCTCCTTGTCGTTACACCTGAGACATAGTCACTTGACCACACTGCCTTGTATAAATCACCCTTGTACCTTTTCAACCCTGGCTACCAATGTAAAATGTCTCTTACCTTTGCCTTTCGGGCATTATGAAGTTACCCAAGCTTCTCCAGTGATTCAGAGGTGGCAACGGACCCCAGATCTCCTTGTCGTTACACCTGAGACATAGCCACTTGACCACACTGCCTTGTATAAATCACCCTTGTACATTTTCAACCCTGGCTACCAATGTAAAATGTCTCTTACCTTTGCCTTTCGGGCATTACGAAGGTGAGAATCATGCGTCGAAGTTAAAACTGTTCAGCGTTTTTTAAAATGTATCAATTAAAAAACCCCTTTCAATGAGATTTTTGAGACATTTCTCATTATCCTACCCAATACAGACCATCTCAATATTTTTTTCAAATACCGAAGTTTTGCTTCATTAAAAAAACAACCTTTTCTGAGAACCTTCCTGTTCAACATTACTTGCTGTCTACCCCCGTTTTGTAAGCATACAACCACGAGAGACACGGCCAGTTAAGTTTAGCCCCAAAATGTAGGTCTTTCATTGTCTAAAATTAAGGTGTTTTTTTAATGTATTATAGATAGAAACAAATACATTCGTGGCATGTGATGGACATGCAAATGTAGGTCTTTCATTAAAAAAAACCCCTTTGTTTCTATCCATAATACATTGTCTAAAATTAATACATTCGTGGCATGTGATGGACATGATGGGTGGATTTGGTTTTACACCCAACTTGCAGTGATGTACACGAGGACACAAGGCATCGAACAATGGAAAATCTGGCTCTACTTGCTTTCTTTAAAATTCCTGGGCCTGATTTTCAGTTGTATGAATCGTAGAATCACAGGAGTGGAAGGAGCCCCGAGAGGTTATCTAGTTGGCTATGTCTAGACTGCCGGCTTCTCTCAGAAGAAGCGTTTCAGGGAAGAGATCTTCCAGAAAGACGTCTTTCAAAAGAGCGCATCTACACAGCAAAAGCGCAACAAAAAAGCAATGGGCTTTTTCAAAAGACAGCGTCCACACTGATTGGACGCTAGCTCACATTTCAGTAGTGATTACTGTGGACGGAGTGGTCCCCAGAGCACCTGTGCTTTTTCCTGGTGGCCTCTTTCGAAAAAACTCCCTCTTCGGTTTCGAAAAGGCTTCTTCAGAAATGGCTTCTTTCTCATAGAAAGAAGTTGACCGCTGTCAGAAAAAACCCTCCGTTCTTTCGACTGTCTGTCGAAAGAACACAATAGCAGTGTGGACATAATTATAGTTTTTCCGGAAAAACAGTCATTTTTCCAGAAAAACTCTGCAGTATAGACATACCTATCCGGTCTCCTGCACCCATGGCTGGACCAAGCACCATCTAGGTCACCCCTGACTGATGTCTGTCCAACCTGATTTTATGTATCTCCAGTGCTGGAGATTCCACAACCTCCCTGGGCAATTTATTCCAGTGTTTAACCACCATGACAGGCAGGAAGTTTTTCCTAATGTCCAACCTAAACCTCCCTTGCTGCAGTTTAAGCCCATTGCTTCCTGTCTTGTCCTCAGGGGTTAAGGAGTATCATTTTTCTCCCTCCTCCTTGTAACAACTGTTTTGTAGTCAAAACTCTGGCGTGGTGTTCACCATTCATTAACGCTGATTCTAACTTGAGAGGTGAATTCCCAGGTGGCTCTCCCTGTGTGGGTCTCAGTTGCCTTCGGTCTGGCACACGGTCTTGGCTTCTGCTGTTTGCCAAGGTTGTCAGGATAACAGCATTTAAACCAGAATGCCTCTGGTGGACACGCTCGGTCGCAGGCTTGAAATGGGCCCGAGATACAGGCTTAGATCTAATTTTGGACCTTATCAAAATCTGGGCTAGGAGTCAAAGATAACAGTACAATTGAGGATTTCAGCCAAGCTGCGCAAAGTTTTCATCCAAGTCCTGCTGCCCAATTTGAGCTTTGGGGGGGTTCCGGGCTGTGGGGCAAATTGGGGCAAGTTTGGAACTTCGGGCCAACCTGCGAGCGATTTAAGGGTGCACCCAGTGGGGGTTCTCCCTGCACTAGCCGGAACACAGGGGCTGCGGACCAGTTTCCCCTGGAGTCTGCGTGGTTCTCACACAAAGGGATCTTTTTAACGTGTCGGAAGCTGCTTGTTCATCAAAACCGAACTTCGGGCAGGAAACGGGTTGGTCTGGACCAGAATGTGGTGGAGAAAGTTTCTGAGGGTCTCGGATGGAATTCAAGAGCGTGAGACACGCTTCAGTGAGGAATAGTCCACCGGTGCAAGCACTCACCTGGGACATGGGGGACCCAGGTAAGCATCCTGACAACACGCTACTGATCTGCTGTCAGGCCTCTTCTGCTATGGGTATGCCCCCCAGAGGCTCTGAACCACTGATGGGGGAGTGAAGTCTGGTGGCTTTTAGCTCATGGCTTTGGCCCCTAAGGTCGCAGGTTCAATTGACGAGCTGGGTCCATTGGCGCTGCGTATCGCTAATTACATTAAATATTCAGCGGGCTGCAGAGAGGGAGAGGGCCTCCATGCGTGAATCAGAGCAGCCATGTGAGGCGGAGAGTCTGGCTTTGTCCACGCAGATACACTCGGGCCCGGCAAGAGGGACACCTTCCCTAGGGCTTGGCAATGCAAAGGAGCTCTGGCCACCGAATCCCGGGCTCTTTAAATGGCTGCCAGAGCCCCGTGCGTGTCCTGTGGAACTCTAACAGCTGGGGGGGCGGTGCTGAGGACTGGTTGCCCTGGCCCCACCTCTACTGTCAGAGGCCCCGCCCTTCTGCCAGAGGCCACACCCCTTCTGGGAGCACCCTTACCCGTGCGGGCTGTTGGCTCCCCTGGATATACAAGGCCACTGGTGCAACCCTCGCTGGCCCAGGGCCTATGAGGAGGTCAGGCTGTGGGGCCGGCAGTGCGTGCCTTTCTGAGGTAGGCACCGGCCCATTCACACCAAGCCGCTGAGCTCTTATCCAGGTTTGGGATCTTTGTCATTAGTTTCTTCCACTTGCAGGCCGGGCAGCAGAGCGACAGCGCAAGGGAAGCCACCCTCCTGGGGCTCGCCCGTTCACACAGAGCCAGGGAATGCGGCTCTCTGGCCGCGATCGCGGGATTTGGGTGCCGGTGGCAGGAGTCAGTGGTCACCATAAACAGGGCTGGGTCAATCCAAGGCCGTAACCCCCCCCCTCCATACACTGGCCAGTCAGGAACAGACCAGCACCTGCTAGAAGGGTTCTGAGTGCGGGTCACCCTTTCTGAGGCATGTAAAATTGCCCTGGTGGCTACTGTGGCTCTCAGGGTGCACCACCCAGGCCACACAAACTTCAGGAGGCAGCCGGCTGAGAAGGGAATATGCTCTACCTGGACTTTTACCCCCGTTCTAAGAAGAAAGCCTTAGTCCCTTGAGATGGCTGCTAAGTGAGTTGCACGAGCTTCCTCGCACATCAGCTTAAGCGAGGTTCGGGGATGGCAAGACCATCGTTTTGTTCAGCAGAATAAACAACCCGCAGGAAACAATCGCTTGTAAATCACTTGGAGACAAGTCAGGGCATAGTTCAGCTTCACGTCTCCATGACTAATGCCTTCTGCTCGCAGAAAGAGAAAGGAAATGCAAGCAGGGTTTGGCCGTGCACGATCTCATGCCGGTACCTTGTGGAATATGGGCAAGATCATTTAATTACGGCGTAATTGGTTTGCAACAGCAGCGCCTTGACACTCTGCCGTAGGTTGTGGACCGCTAATAGGACTGGCAAACCCGAACCTTTGCCCAAATCTCCAAACTGGGCTTGATTTCCAAACCGTATTGCTTAGATTTCACCCTAAGTGCTGTTGCTTCCATTTCTCGGTGTCCTTCGTGTGTCACTCCCATCAGGTGGAGGAAAGGCCCAAATGACACAGTCTGGATCCCGATCTAAACTGCCTTTCTCTCTAGTTTGTGGCTGGGGTAACTCCATTGTAATCAGTGGATTTATACCCCCATAAAAGTGAAACTCCTGGCATGGTACTCCAGCTCTAATTCAAAGGGGGCTTGATTTCTGGATGCTGCAGAAGCTCTGGGCCCCTTTGAAATGCTGGGCCCTGGTACAATTAGCCCCTTTGTCCCTCTCCCACCCCTGCCGGCAGGCCTGGTGGCAGGTTGCTATGCAGTATCATGCCATCTCTACCATCTTTCTCTGCCACCCTGGTAGAGGAAGGGTTTTCCTCTAAGCCTCGGCCCCGCTTAGGAAGCTGGCCCGGCAGGTGAGCCGTGGTCCGTACCTGTCTCAAGCTGAGGCACTGCACTTGGTCCTTAGCCAGCGAAAGCTCCCAGACACACACGACGGCGCTCGTTCCGGAGGTAATGACGGTCGTTGGCGTGGGGCACGCCGCACAGAGGCACTTGCCCCAGTCTGCCATGCACTCGAGCGTCACTGCGTTCTGCAGAGGGTAGAAACACGGGCAGTCGTTTTGGGGGCCAGGAGAACAGCCTTTCAATTTTTACAGCAGGGTGAGGGCCCGTGACCCAAGCTCTCCTCCTCCCATCAAGGCTGGGAAAGGACTGGTCCTCCTACCCATTGGAGAGAACCAAAGGAAGGGGAGGGTCAGTGCAAAGAAAGGGCCCAGTCCTACAGGATGGGGGACTTCCTCAACTCAGAAAAGTCGAAGGAAAGAGGGAATTTTCCTCTCCGCTCTGCCCTCGCAGCCTGTGTGTGGAACAGCAGGGCCATGTGCGGGAGCGGATCCACCTGGCTGGATTGGTGGGATGAGCCAGCAGTTAGGACACTCAGGCTACGTCTACACTGCAGGCTTCTTGCACAAAAACAGTTTTGCGCAAGAGTTCTTGCACAAGAGCGCATCCACACTGCCATGCATTTTTGCACAAGAGATGTGCTTTTGCACAAGTGCGCCCATAGCAGTGTGGACATGCTCTTGCACAAGAAAGCTCCGATGGCCATTTTAGCCATCGGGGTTTCTTGTGCAAGAAACCCATTGCCTGTCCACACTGCCTTCTTGTGGAAGAGCTCTTGTGCAAGAGGGCTTATTCCTTGTGGTGAGAGGAATAACTCTTGTGCAAGAAGCCCTGTTTTCCGACGCCGTATAGTAAATTTACTTGTGCAAGAACACGCGTGCAGTGTGGACACTCTGCAAGTTCTTGCGCTAAAAGCCTGCAGTGTAGACGTAGCCTACGGGTACGTCTCCACACAGCAGCATGATTTCGGAATAACCATGCGAGCGTCTACACAGGGAGCCCGTTATTTCGAAATCATTTCAAAATAGCGGGTGGCTTAGTTCGGTGTTTGCAAACCTCGCTCCACGAGGAATAACGCCTCCTCCGAAACAGCGATTTCGGAGCAGCAGGAGTGCGGACGCGCCACGGCTGCTATTTCGAAATAGCTCCTCCCCCCGGCCATTCAGAGTAATTCCTTCCCAGTGCCTCCTGGCGCTCTAATTGAGGTAGCGTGTCCACATTAGGGGAGCTGCCTCGGACACATTTCCAGGTTTCCCTGTAGTGTCGACGTGCTATTTCGAAATACGCT